TCCACAAGAACAATCAGCTGTGAAGGTTTCTGTCAAATGATAGTCAACAATTGCCCACCACTCTTTATCAACTTCGTGAGACCCCACCTTGTACCTAAAAGAAAAGGAGATCAAAGAAAACCATTTGAAATCTTTTGCATCAATTTAACATATACTCCTAATTGTACCTGATTAGATCTTCATTCATTAAAATCTTTTCATGCTCATAATGAAGAACAGCTTCCATCCACTCCTTTTTAAATATATTAAATATTTTTCTTGTGTAACGCTCACCAGCTATTGCTTCAATTTGATGAGTAGTCTCCAAAATTGCTTTTGTATTTCTAGTTTTAAAATCTTCATCTTCTTCAGCATCCCTCCTACTCTTAATTGCTTTGTCATATTGAGTAACAAAGTCATTTAACATTGTGTTGGAGTTGACGTATCCATCAAAAAAAGCATTGATGCTCTCACTTCGGCCACTTGTGGTCATTCCAGCCCAAAAAGTATCTTTCAAATATACCTTTGCCCAATGATGACGTGAAACATACATGTTAGCCAACCAAGTTCCTTCTTTAATATCATATTTAGTCTTCAATGATTCCCAGCTGCCTTCAAACTCATCAATGCTTCGACTTTTATACCATGCACGAAAGTCAACATCAAAACTCTCCTTAAATTGTGAGCGTAGTGCTTGAGTGTGTTCCATAACATGTTTTTTCATGTGCCACGCACAAAAACGATGTCGTGCTTTTGGAAATATTTTGGCAATTGCTTTTCCAATAGCTTTGTCTTGATCAGTGATAATAGCAATAGGAGACTTATCAAACATACATTCCAGAAATTGTTCAAACAACCATGTAAATGTTGCCTCTGTTTCATCTTCTAACAAAGCGGCTGCAAATAAAATTGATTGCCCATGGTGATTAACCCCAACGAAAGGGGCAAAGGGAAACTTGAACTTATTTGTTTGGTAAGTCACATCAAACACAAGAACATCACCAAATTGAACATATGCTGCTCTTGACCTACCATCCGCCCAGAATACGCTTCTTAATGTTCCATCTTCGGCTAAATGCATATCAAAATAAAAAGATCCATCAAGAACAGACTTCCTTTGAAAGTGTTTAATGATGCCTTGACATTCTCGCCCCACATTATTCTTTCGTTGGCTTGATATAATAGTGGAGATTTGCACTGGAGTAATATTAACTTCTTTGTCCATAGCATTCACCACCTTTGAGATTTTTGAAGAAGTTAAACCCTCCTCAGAAAGCATAGAAACAAGAGATTTAGTAAACTTTGAGCGTCGTAATTCATTCTGAGAAGAAAACTTCTTCACCTTTGATGGAGTGTTAATCAATGAATGATTGTGTGTATCATTGAACTTCTCCACTTTCCATACTCCATCCACCAACTTTATTTGTAACATCGCCAAACAATTAGTCCTTGTATCCCTTCGCCTTTTAACTACTTTATCATTCACTTTCTTGATGCCTTCTTTCGAACACACATACCTCCACCTATATATTTGCTGTGTTCTTGCACTCTTGTTAAAAAATTGCTTACGTATTCCAAACCCCTTACCTTTTGCATGATCATTATAAAAAACATAAGCTTCTTCTGATGTCCCAAAGACCCTACATAAAAAACTAGTCTCACTAAATTCATTGATATCATCTCCCACAATTTCAAGTACAACATTTTGCACATGATCACCATCTTCATCTTCCATAATTTCACACTCATCATCATCAACAAACTCATCAGTGTCTTTCTCCAAATCAACAACATCATCATAACGTGCTAAACTCCCACTCACGTCAATGTCTTCAATAGTTATTATTTGGGAGTGATCCATTATAACAAACTCATGATTGTCTTTCTCAATTGAATTTTGATGCACTGAAACACTCTAGTAATTCTAATGTGATGCCTTAATATCTTTTCAAACTTCTTAGACATTTGTAAAATCAGATAAAATTGATAGTTTTGCACACAACCTATATTCACAAGACCAAAAAATAAAACACCTTAGTTGAAATAAATCATATTTGATGTAGAGGATATCATCAGTAAAAGAATTATTTAATTAATGAGTCATATTTGATTAAAAAAAATATCACACCCATAGTTGAAATAATTGCACTTGGGTTTTGTTGATGTAATATGAAAACTAAAAACAAGCTCATGAAATAGTTGCAAACTTGAAAGCCATCAAAATATGTTAATACAGCAGCAAAGGGGAAACCATAGACACATATACAATTCTATTTCATTTGCCAAATTAAACATGGTGCGTTAATTGATTAATGAGAAGCTGAAAATAAAAAATAGAAAAAAACCATGCCAAAGCTGCAAAGTTTAATGCTATCAAAATAGGAGCTAAGGAAGACCCCCAAAAAAAAAAAAAATTAAATAGAGGGACAAAAATCAAACCTGTAAAAATTCAGACACCTCAACTTGCCTCACAACTCCTATATCCTCCATCAAGTATTTTCACAGCTCTAAAAATGGGGAAAAAAGAAGAAGAGAAAAAAAAAATTGGGAAGTAAGCACAATCAGATATACGCATAACATGAATCAAAGTCCAAAAAAGAAAGTCCGTCAAGTGTCATGAAATAGAAATAGGGTTTTTGATTTTACCTTTTCATCTATTGGTTGCATTGGTGGTATTTGCTAATCTTCTATTTTTGTGTTTCCTTTGCTTGATGTTTATCGCAGCATCTCTTTCCGCCTTCAAGATAAATCTGAATCGATGGTTTTATCAAAGTGTTTAGGTGAGAACGAAATCGAAGAAAAACCAACTATGAGAATGGAAAAGAGAATGAGGGAAAAACAAGTTTGAGGGGAAAGAATACCACTTGGTTGCAGAGAGATGAGAAGGGACAATACATTTGGAACAAAGAAATAAATTGATTTTTCAAACGAAACGCTGCGTTTTATTTAAAATGATGTAGTGTTACATCCTTCAAAAGCATAGATACTTTTCCCAAAATAATATAATTTTATGTCCTTTAAAAGTATAAATATTTTTTTCTTTCTTTATTTATAAGATATGCCATGATGTTCCATTTCCTTTAAGTGATGATGATGTTCATGTCATGTGCTCCAGGCTGATAAAGAATTATAATAGGATTCTGTTAAGTCGACTTTCTCAACACCACGCTCAACATGACTCTGTAGCAGAATAAATACAAAATATATGACTTTAAATTTAAGTTCTTGATACGACTCTTTAATTTTAAAATAGCGCACGTGATCATTAGATCACACACTTTTCGTCTATTCTACCAATAGGTGCATTTTTTATTTTTTTTGGAAAAAAAAAAAAAGTTGGCTCAAAATAGGTGCATTTTAAATTGTAATTTTAACATTGATCAAAATAAATATTATTATTTTTTCAAAGTTGGCTCAGTGATATGTTTAATTAAAGCTAACAAATTTGCTTGGGAAGAAAAATAAACAAATTAAGATATTATCACATTTAGAGTATTGAAATAGGAACCTCAAAAAAAAGAGTATTGAAATAGGTACGGCTTAAATACAAATATTTTATACTATTTATATAATCTTTTCACCAAAGTTTTCTCCAATTCTCTTGCTTTAGAAGAAGGTAGCATTGTAGTGACTGTTAATAAAATCGGATCGGGTTGGGTTGATTCCAGAATTGGTAAATCAGTAATATAATCGATCTGGTTGAAGTAACGGATCGGTTATGCATCAAAATCGGTGTGATCCGGTCTGATCTGACCTATTTTCATGAAAATCAGTGACTCAGACCCGGTTCCAAAAAAAAAAAATTCAAATTTTTTTTTTAAAAAAATTCATAATTGACATATTTGAATATTTTTTTACTTATTGACTTACATAAGTTATGTACCTACAATACTAATATTATCTCAATTATGTACTATGCAAATTTTTTGATTTGATTTATAATTAGATATGTCATTTTCTGAACCTAAAGCCTTCTATCACGATCATTATATTTTTGTTTGATCCTTTATTGGATAATAGTATGTGATTTATTATTTTTTATATTAAAATATTTGAAATTTTTATTATTTTTTAGATATTTAAGTATGTTTAAATTTTTTTAATATAAATTATAAAATTACATATAATTATCGAATCATGCGATTGAATCAATGACTCACTAATTAAATCAGTGATCTAATAATCCAGTTCTTCGACCGGATCAATAATCAGACCGATTTTAATAACATTGGTTGGATGGTAGAACACAGTTAATAAAAGGTCTATGAACGACTGTAAAAGAGAATCGGTTAGTCCCCACTAGTAGGGGTGTAAATGGGCTGGGCTGGGCTGGGCTTTGGCTTTCCTGGCCCAAGCCTACGTAAAAAAAAATTCATCCTATATGGCCTATTGGCCTATCAAAGGCTTTATTTGTAGGCTAAACCCGGCCTATTTTTAAAAATAAGAAAGCCCGACATGGCCTACAGGCCTTGTAGGCCTACTACCACTATAGATACTAAGCAAAGAAAATAATTGTATAGAGCAAAGAAAGTTTTATTCATGAATGCACTAGTACTTCTCATAAGAAAAAAATAACAAACAAGAAAGAGTCAACATAATACCCCAATTTTAGAATGTATATCATAGATGAATAGAGTCAAAGAAATGGAGAAAATAAGAAAAATACAATTATTGGGTGATGAAATAAACTCTCCAAGAGAATGTCATTTATCTAAAAATTAGGGTTGGTATTGGTACTTTGCCATGCCATATAAAATAAATATTATTTTATTATTTTATTTTTAATAAATTAAATAGATCAGCCAACAAGGCTTTGGGCCAGGCTTGACAAAATTGGCCTACGACCTATTTGTAAAAAAAAATTTCTTAAAAATCTAAGCCTACTCTACTTTTCTTAAAGGCCGGACCAAGTCAGACTTAATGTAGGCTGGGCTGGGCCAGCCTGACCTATTTACACCCCTACCCACTAGTTGAGCAAAAACGGCAGGAAAAGTGGCAATTAAGAGGTTTGAAACGTGTCAATGAAAGGTGGGTTGGGGCTGAAGTCTATGGGCCCCGTAATGCTTCCCTTCGTTGTGATGTGGTTAGTGGTACCAAAAAGCAAGGCCACATGATATTAAAGAAGTTAATTTGTGCAGGGCCCATATGAGTATCACGTTGTGAGGACCCAAAGTCCCTTTTCCTATCCTTTCCTTTTCCATTTTGTTTCTTTCTCTGTTGTCTGACTTAGTGTGCTCTTTTGTTTCTCTTTATATGTTGTTATTGCACTTTCGTGTGCTGTGTTAAATTACTTTATCTATTGATAACGCTGTCCATTGGGCATTGAATCGGTCATCTCCAACTCCGGGAAATGATATTGATTGGTGTCAAAGAACAAAAGCAATTTAGAGTTTGTTTAGGCATTTATTTTGGAAGGAGGTATTTGTGTTTGAGAATATTTACTTTAAAATGTGAGTAAAGTTACCAAAATAAAAAAGAGCATATTATGGCGTAAAATAACAACAAATGTCACTTGTGTCCAAAGTGGATCGGTGTGGACTACAGGATGAATTGAACCCAATAAGGGTTGAAAGAAAAATCAAATGGCCTACTATGGGCCACGATCTTTTTCAAAACGATAAGTTCACAAAATTGTTTTCATACACTTTCAAAACAAAAGTATTGGGTATTGCATTTGAAATTGTGGATATAAAAAATGGGTTCGTTTTTTATGCCGTTACTGTAGATAAATTATCTGCAGTAAACTTAATACGACGTCGTTTTGGAGCAGAAATCATGATGTTTTTGTAATTTTAATTTATTTCAGAGTTATAATAATCTTTATATTTATAATTTTTTAAGATTTCAATATCAAAACGACGTCGTTTTGGGAATAAATGCATATAACTAATCTACGGTAACTGCATAAACATTTTTCCCATAAAAAATCAATTTAACCCAAAAAGTGAGGGGGTGAGGCTACAATAATAATTTTATATATTTTTAACACCTAGCTTTTGTTGATGATTCTTTTTACACTTCCTCGCCTGTGATCACTCAAGTTCAAACCTATTTGCGTATGTAACATTGTAGTTTCTCTCACATTATTCCTACTGAATCTCTACATGTTCTTCCTCTTGCTAGGCTGGATGTGAAAGCTTTGAAGGTGTTCTTTCTTCTTCTCATCAGATTAAGAAAGTAGGTTTTACCCCTTGGTCAAAAAATGATAAATCGGGTTGATGGAAAATTGACACGGTAAATCAGGTTATAGTGTTCTACACTTCTACTCATGTCAATTTAACCGAAAAAACGGTAACACATTTTAGCCTAAAAGGTTAACAACAATTCAAGTTACAAAGTTTTCGTCTAACCAGTTTCATCAGTTTAACATCGTAAACACACTCAAGGGAAGGGAATGTGACCTTTAATTAAATTTTTTGTTAATGTCTGTCTCAGTATATATGATAAGAAATAAAAATAATATTTATTACTCTTTATTAAACTATTATAATTACTTTTTTTTTTTTTTTGGAGGTTACAAGGAATTGAACACAACACCCTACACTACACTAAATATTTGTATATTTCAATATAATAAAATTTTCACTTTTTATTTAATAGCCGAGTTAAATTTGAATTTTACTTAAATACGTCACACCTATATAAAATATTTTAACAATATAATTTTTATTTGCTCGAGGTGGTGACTGGTGAGTACCTAAGGTAGGGAAATATTTATTATGGTTCAGGACCACCCAATGATCTGATATTCCCTCTCACATCATTAATTTTTTCTTTTCCTTTTTACCCCTATTATTTTTTCTCTTTTCCAATTTTACCCCTCCATTTACACTAAGAGACACCTAAAAAATGGTGGTCCCGGACCACAATAAATAATCTCCTAAGGTAGGTGGTGGCACTTTACCAGCACTTGAGCTCCCATTGTTTTATGTATCAACAATCGAACCATGATTCAAATTATGTTTATTAAACTAATAAATTGTTAATCGAATTAACAAAATTCAAAAATCCAAAAAAATTCGCATATTTTAATTGGATTGGATCAATTTTTAATTTAGTTAGTGAAAACGATCCAATGTATAGAGGTGAAAAAGTGGAGAACAGTGACCAAAATGTCACTTTTCATCAAGTTTTTTATCTAAATGCCACGCGAACAGTGTTATTTTTCAATATACCATATGGGCAAGTTCGTTGAGCACTGTAGCGAACTCTGTTGCTGACGTGTCACATTTTTAGTGGACACCTTGGTTGCAATACATATTCCAACCAAGTTCGCTAGCGAACTTGGTACTTTTTTTTTTTTACTTGGTACTTGTTATCCACTAGAAACGTGACACGTCAGCAAACAGAGTTTGCTACAGTGCCCAGCGAACTTGCCCACGTGGCATATTGGAAAATAACACTGTTCGCGTGGCATTCAGGTAAAAAACTTGATGAAGAGTGGCATTTTGGTCGGTGTTCCATAAAGTGGGCAGCCTGACATCAACCCACCAAAAAACGAGTTAGCCCAATTTTAAGAGTGGGCCATATAACTTAGTTCATCTCACTGACCTGAACTTTTTTTACACTAACCCGCCCCGCTTTTGAAAGTGGGTGAGTGGGTTGGCTCGTTGGCCCGAGTCCGTTTTGTCAGCCCTAATTATGTATGTATTATTTTTGAAAAATAGTGACTTATAATCTTGTTATATTGTAGACTTGAAATCTTAGATGGTATTGATAGCAAACAATCTTGTTTTAATTTTTATTGTCTATTAATCTATTTTAACCTTTCATGAGTTTTAAGACTTGTTTTAGTTTGAAGACTTAAATTTTCAAGTGGTTTGTAACTTGGAATAACTTTATTTTGATATATAGCTAATGATTTGTATGGTTGAAATTTTAGACTTTTAGAAAAATCAAAAATTGATCCAATCCAAACCGAATAAAATTGATTGGATTGGATTGGATCAGATTTTAAAAAAATTCAAATCGAATAGATGATTAAATGATCAAATCAAAGAGATTGGATCATATAATTTTTGCTTCAAAACCGATCTAATCCAGACCGCGAACACTACTAGTTTTATGTAAAAAGAAAATAAAATAAAATTAAGGAGTTTTATTTACAAATACAATCTCTTGTATTTACTTGTTTAGAAAAATAGTGCAATTTTGAAATAAATTATCAATTTAAAAAAATATTATCAAAATAATGAATATTGTTTAAAATATAACCACTTTGATAATACATTTCAAAATAGTATTATTTCAGTAATTATTTCTCTCAAAAACACGGTCGAGTGCAGTAGTGCACACCTAACGTAAGAGACCATGTAAACCACAACAGTGGAACACTTTCCAGGACTTTGAGTTGACTTCCTCTCTCTCTAGTCTCTCTATTTTTCTTATCTTTAAATATACCTTGAAGCGTAGGTGGTAGCTGCAGTACACCACTTCAAAACAAAGCCATCCCTATCGCTGCCTCACGACCACCCCTGCTCTGTTTGGCTTACTTTAGCAACCCTCACCAACGTCCCATCAATGAACGTGAGAATTTTTTATACCCACTCCCTCCCAACTTTTATCTTTTTCATGACCCAACAATAATACATGATGAACTCAACCAAGCCATTTGCTACAACTACTCACTTCTTATTTTTGCTTTCTTTCCAATTCCATGCATGAGTCCTCATCAACTATATTATCTTTATGTTTTTTTTTTTTTTATCGTTTTTTTTCTATTTTTTGGGTACAATTTTTTTTTTTTTAGTACAAGTAGTCTTTGAAGTTCAAATTTTGAGATCTCGTGTCAAAATTTCACCCTGCCCTTGTCCTTTATTTTTATTTCCGTTTTAATATGGTAGTGAAGATTGATTTTGTTTTGCTCTATTACAGAAAGTAGTGCTAGAGGTTGAACTACATGATGACAAACATAAGAAAAAAGCCATGAAGGCAGTCTCTAGTCTTGCAGGTATGCAATTTCAATCTCTTTCCCCTTTCTCCTGTAATTTTCTTTGCTTTTTGATGCTTACGTAATCATGGAAAAATCAAAGAGAGAGAAAAAAAAAACATACTTCACATTACATGGGTAGAACCTTTATTTATTTTGGTCTTTAGTTCTAATAAACGTAACCATATAGTATTCAAGATTGAATGATTTAGGGGTGACATTTGCAGGGGTTGAGTCAGTGTCTCTGGAGATGAACGACCAGAAATTGACATTAACTGGAGACATAGATCCGGTGCTTGTAGTGGGCAAGCTGAGGAAGCTTTGTCATACTAAGATACTCTCTGTTGGACCAGCCAAGGAGGAGAAGAAAAAGGAACCTAAGAAAGTTGAGAAAAAGAAGCCAGAGGCCAACGAAAACGATCAAAATCAGAACTTGGTTGATATTGTGCAATTCTACGAAGCCCGTCATAATCATTACCATTACCCATGTTTGGAAGAGAATCCTAACTCCTGTGTCATCTGCTAATTAAGTTATAGATCATCGCGGAATTCAAAAGAAAATAAATGAAAAAAAAAAAACCATGGTTGTTGGATAGTTGTACTGCATTTGAGTCTCACCTTTTTTTTCCCCTTCTTATTTTGTTGTTGTTCTTGGTTTTTGTTTTGTTTCTTTTTTTTCCTTCTTATTTTGTTTTGTTTCTTTGTTGTTGTACCTTGTGGTGTAACCATTTTTTATATTATGTTGGTCTTACAGTATATTAACGTATAATGTATTCAAAACCTTGGTAGCTTTCACTTCCATAGAAATACCATTTGAGAGATTAATTTTATTTCTAATCATCTTTGTTTCTCAGACTAAATAAAAAAAATAATTAAGAACCTTATCATGCACCTTTAATATTAGATCATGTTACTTATAAAAAATAACTTTATTACACATGTCATAGAATTCTCATAATCATCATTTTATTTTATTTTTCCTTTTTATTAATAAATTTTAATTATTTGCATTCCCTTACATAAAGTTATGTACACAAAATTTATGTGGATTAATATTTTCCTTAATCTTACCGACAAAAAGAGGTCCAGACTTTATAATACTAATAAATACGGTTAAATATTGAAATATTAGAAAATTGAATTTGATCCATCTTAAAATTACAAACAATTTAAAACAGGATCCAACTTATCAATATATTTAAACATAAAAACTAAATACCAATTAAATTAAATTAAATAGTTATATTGAGTGATTACTTGGGCGTTATATGCGAGTACAAGACGAACAAAGTCTAATGGTCTCCTTCCTCTGAATATTCTAATCCCCGTCCTTTAATCATTTTCAAGTTTCTCTAATAAAAAAGACACTGGTTTCAAAGTGGAATCCAAACTCTCTTTTATGTCATTTAAAATATCAAACTCAGTTTAAAATTTTACATTATCATGGTAGCTTTTACAAGTCTTTCCATACAATCAAAGTCGCGTACAAAACAGCTTCTCCAAAGATCATGGTTAAATTAGGAGCAAGTAGTATGATATAGATGGTCAATACCGGCAACTTCTCAGTACGTACAAATTAAACAAAAGAGTGCACATGCATGAAAGCTTGCTCCGCATGTATAATAATTGTTTAGCCCATATGTAAGCAATTTGTTATGGACATAGAGAGGATCTATTCTGATCCGTAAGCATTACTTTATTTTTAACATAGTTTTTTCAGATTGTTCATTCACCAACCAGAGTGTCTCCATCATCTCATTTGCCTTTGAATATCAGATGCTGTTGACACTCCTTCATTAATAGGTGACAAGGGTCTGATTAGTTGGGATCTGTCTGGGTTTATGCTTTATTTAAATGCTTCAATTGAAAAGATTCCCACTAATCAATATGTTTAGCTGGTAACGAGATCTTGAAAGCCACTTAATGATTTTGACTATCTTGATAAATTATTAGTATCACATGGCTTTTAGCACAGAAACAAATGGTAATAATGAGGATAAAATACATTTAACCATGTTGATTATAATTTACTCACTCAATTTTTCAAACTTACCAAACTGTGTTCTCTATAGAGGTTTACGCAGAAGGGGTTAAGTTTATATTATTATGTACAATTTGACAAATATAAAGTTAAGTTATTGCGTTTTGAATTACAATTCCTTTTATATTTAACCTATATTGAGTGGTAGTTGGATGCACTTTACTCACTAATAATAATCTGTTCTTAAGCAGTGTACTAATTAGTGACCGGATAATTATTTACACTTTTGAAAGTTTTTCTTTCTTTCTTTGTGGTACTAGATAATTACATTAGTTTTTGTTTAATATAAATAAACTTTTTGCAAGTTTTATTTTATAGAAAAAAATTAATAATCAAATTATTATTATTTTAATAATAAATTTGATGTTATTAAATTTACAGGAATTCCGAAAAATTATATTCAAAAAAATTAATGTTAATTTCTAAAATAAAAATAGGTACATTATTTAAGATCTTAATTATTAGATTTTAATTATTATTTATAATACTAATCAGTATTTATGTGAAGGGAGAGAATAAAAAGCAAACAATTTGAGACTCAATTGCAAGTAGGTTGAGAATAATTCCCATGGGATCATTAATGCATGAATGTATTTTATTTTTTTCTATGCATTTGTTAAAAAGAAGAAGCACATTCGTATTTTGCGCAAGTTTCTTGAAGTACTGGGTACCAAGTTTCATCTTGAAAATTCAGGGTCTTGGAGAGCACTCCATTTCACAGAATTTTTCTATTTCCACCTCAGTGTCTTTTGTTTTTGTTGACTCTATCAAGCAAGTTTTATCTTGAAATTTCAGGGTCTTGGAGAGCACTTCATTCTACTTAATTTTTCTGTTTCCACATGAGTGTTTTTTTTTTTTTTTTTTTGTAAACACATGAGTGCTTTTTGTTCTTGCTGATTCTGTTAAACCTCCGTTGTTATATAATAGGTTCCAGTAATTTTTGCCTAACCTATATTAGTTTGTAAAGAAAGATAAGTGCGTGAATAAGAAATACAGATTTGGCGCTTTAATGAAAATTAAATTCCATAGTTTTATCTGACTAATTTAATATCATTTTAGGCTTTTTTGGGAGTTGGTTTTAGGAGGGGAAGAAAAGAAAAAGGAGGATTTTAGAAAGCCCTTTCCTTGTTTGTGAGTTAAAAAAAATGAGGGGAAGTAATTGGAGATTTTTACTAAACCCTCGAAAATTTCCCTTCTTCTTAAAATTAAAGTTCCCCCAAATTGGGGAGTTTGGACTTTCGATGAAGAAATATTAAAAATTACTTATCTACCCTTAGTATTAAAATGTGAAAACTACATAAATGTGAATCATTTTTAAATGAGACATTATTAGACAAATCTCAAATATCGATAGAATTTATCGACGAAAAATATTTCATCAAAAATAATAATGAAATCTTTGATGAAAATCATATACGTCCAAAAATTTACGTCAAAACTAAAGATGAAATTAGAGACGGAACCAAATTTTGCAATAATCAGTGACATAAATATTTTAAGGAAAAAAAATTCAGTCAAAATTATTGATAGAATCTAAGTTCCGTCAAAACTTTCAACAAAAATATTTTCGTCCAAAATTTTGACGAAACACATTTCCATTGAAAAGTTTCGACGTAAAACAATTACGTCAAAATTTATACAAAAAACATTTTCATCAAAAATTTTCGCAAAAGTATTCGATCTCTTCAAAATTGTGACTAAAAATATTTATGTAAAAAAATTTGAAGGGAATTTTTTTTGTTAAAATTCTTTACGGAATCTAAATTTCGTCAAAATATTTCACAAAAAAACATATTCATCGAAATTTTTACGAAAAATATTTTCATTAAAATTTTCAACAAAACGAAAAAAATTTCATCAAAATTCTTTACAGAATTTAAATTTTGTCGAAAGTGTTCGATAGAAACATTTTCGTTAAACTTTTTGTCAATAAAATTTTCTGTCGAAATTTATCACGAAAGACATTTTCATCGAAAATTTTCGACGGAAAATATTTCCGTCAATTTTTTTGATAAAACACATTTTCATCTAAATTTTCAACAAAACACATTTCTGTCAAAAAATTTGGACAGAAAATATTTCCGTAAAAAATTTTGAAAAAAAAATATTTGAATAAAAAATTTTGACGGAAAAAATATTTTACAGAATCTAAATTTTGTCGAAAGTTTCAAATGAAACATTTTCTTCAAAAATTTTGACAAAACAATTTCCTTCAAAAATTTTGTCAGAACACATTTCCATCGAAATTTTGAATGGAAAACATTCCGTCAAATTTTTTGACAGAATTCTGTTTTCGTTTAAAATATTTGATGGTGGAAATTTTTTTCATCAAAACTTTTGATGAAAACTAAATTTCGTCGAAAATTTTGATAAAAAAATTATTTTTGTGAAAATTTTATCGGAGAAAAAATTTCGTCGCTTTTTGATGAAAAATATTCTGACGAAAAATTATTTTGTGACGAAATTTTCGTTGTTTACAATGTAGAAATTTCGTCGAAAATATGATATTTTTTAGTATTGTGAAAAAACATAAATAAATTTGTTAGAAATTTTAAATTTAACTTAATTAGTAAATAAAATAATTATATTTATTTTAAAAATGGGGTAAAATTAAATGATAAAAATATCTTATTAACCCTCTATTTTCTTCCCTTACCATTGTTTTAACTCCCAAACAGGGGAAGGAAATAATACCCTTCAATTTCCTTCCCTTTCCTCCCCCTTGGATCCTCTTCCTTCTCTTCTCCTCCAAACTCCCAAACAAAACCTTAAGGACCAATTGAATGACATAAAAGAGCCCCTTGGAGTGGTCTTGTGATGAGGAATATGAATAATTTGTATGAAGTTATAGGTTTAAATTTTAATGTAATTATTTTATAAAAAAATGACATAACTTGATATTTAAGCATCAATTTATATATTTATAAATAGAGAATCAACCATATCACAGGCATATCCTTAAAGACTAAAATGAATATTTGCATGTTAGTTTGATACTTGAAGCCTTGATTAATTATTGTGAGATTGTGTTTCTGAATCTTAACTGTTCCGAAAAGTTCTTTTTTGTTGAACAAAAGAGAGAAATTTCTTCTTAAGCAAGCATATCCAAACATGCTCTCTTTCTCCCACTTTATTCTGCTGCTAAAATGTATTTTGTGGGGGTGAATTTTTAATTACAAATTCTGGAGAATTTTTATTCAAGACAATATTACCATACTTATATTGATTCTCACCTTTGGAATATTTTATGTTACGATTAGGTTTTTTTTTTTAATCATCTTAACTCATCGTTTTATGATTGGTTTAAAATTTAAATAGTCTAGTTTCATCACTGTTGCTTGAAAATTGAGTTTAGTGGTATAGGAATTTTATAACCAATGCTAAAATTTGTTGCTATTGATATCTTAAAATTAAAATCTTGCCATTGAAACAATTTGGTTTTAAAAATATGTGGTGCTGAAAATCTTGATGTTCCCATAGTTCTATGCTGCAAAAGTAAATATTATTCTAAAGATCTTCAACGAAGACGACACTCAAACCTTTTCCTTGAGGTTATTTGTGAAGGCAGAAGATTTGATTCAGAACCATTTCTTGATAATCTTTGTGAAGGCAGAAGACTAGATTCAGAACCTTTTCTTGATGATAATTGTGAATGCAGGAAGTTGACCATAATGCTAGAAATAATAAAAAATGGAGCATGGAATATGTTATCATTTCATTAGTAGGAAAATGGATATGAACATGGCATAATGGCAACAAGTGCAATTCAATGTAGATTTACTCACTTTTTCTGAAAGTGAAACATATTCATCAGTTTCATCCAGTATGTCCCCCTAGCAAAAAGGAAAAAATGAAAACAATAGGCATTGAAGTAGAAAAGATGACTATATGTGCTATGTGAAGAATGGAGAATAGCAAGCTTGAGACCTTAGTAGTTCAAAATTTAGGCTGCTAAGTGCTAACCAACAAATTGCATCAACAATACAAACACATTAATGATAAGCTTGAGAAAAAATTTGTTAATAGCCACTCTTAACCCATCTTCTATTTATTTTTTGCTCTTAAATTGACCAATTTACATCAACATCAAGGAAAAAAGAGAAGTGTGTCAGTTCCCATATAGAAAAATATACAGCATTACTGATTATCAACATGATAAAAAAGAGAGAGAAGAAACTATAGCACAAACAACTAACCTGTAACAGTTCCTCCATAACATCTTCCATTGTAATGACGCCAATCACTTCCTCATCCGAAATAGTTGGAAGAGATTCTATTTCTTCTCTTGAGATATATCTATTTTCTCTCTCCCGTTGTGTGGATTGTTGATGTTCTTTATTGTCTAGTTCCATGACTTTCTGCAATTTTGGACTATGAAATTCCACGTCACTAGACTCGTAAGTAGAAACTGTGTGACTCTTTTCCAGATCAAAAGAAGAATCAGATTATGCAGAACCAAGATTGCCAAACATAAATAATTTATGAGAAATATTAGTCTCCTTCCACATGAGGTAGTTTATCTCATTTTCTCTCATTTCGATTTCCGCACCTCACTTTTTTTTTTCTTTTTTCTTTTTTCTTGTAATGGTGGGACCCATCTAGTTTCTCTCTACAACATAAGATACCTATCTTATGTAAAAGGAGATTAATAAAACCCATAATTTATTCTCATGAAAGAAACTAAATTTTGTAGTTATGTTTTTCAATTCATCTTAAAGAGAAGAAAATGTGGATTGATATGACATGACACCATGGCAAAATACCGTAAAGATGCTACCTTGGATGGATATATAGTAGAGCATACTTCTTCTAGTTTATTGGAACATGTGAGACTTACACCTTTAATTTTTTTTTTGTTTATTCTCTTTCTCATGATCTATCTTTTTTTTTTTAAATGACACAACTTTACATTTTTAAAACTGACACATATTTTTTCCAACATTTATTATTAAAACAAGTTTTAATTTTCGTGTTACGTTGTATCATAAATAAATAACTTACAAAAATACGAGCTAATATAAGAATAAATATCTTTTTTGGTCCCTAACCAAAATCTCGATTCACACTTTAGTCTATTATAAAAAACAATTAGTCACCTGATCTATATGAAATTCAAAGTGGACTCATTTCGGTCTTTTTGAGGAACTAATGTAGGTCTTTTTTGAATTTATGAGAAACCACTATTTTAACTAAATTGATCCACTTTAAGATTTTTGGGGACCTCGAGACTAATTTTTTTTTGTAAGGGACTAAAATGGGAACCATGTTTTTTGTTAGGGACTTAAAAAGAGTATTTACTTTTAATATATATATTGAACCAAGAGATAAATAAACACCAACAACCAAAAAAAAAAAAGCTAAAGTAAAAATTTTTATGACCTGCAAGTGGGTCCGCCACTGCAGCAACCGAACCTTTGACACAAAATTAAAGCCAGGAGCCAAAAAGTAAAATTAATTGATGAAGATGACAGCTTTTAGAGTTTTGAACACTAAGATGTTCACTGCCTATTTATGTTTGTCATGTAACTTAACATTTATGCTTAAAATGTTTTTAACTTGTGTTATTTCACTCTCATAAAAATGTGAGACTCACACTTTTATTTTATTTTGTTCATTCTCTCTTCTATGATCTATCTCTTTCTTTTTCTTAAAATGACACAATTTTACATCTTTTAAAATGACACACACTTTTATCAACATTTATTACTAAAACAAGTTTTAATTCTCGTGTTATGTGTACCAGAAAGATAAACCTTCTCTGCGTGATTGAAAAATTCTAGGAGGCAATTGGTTGAAAGCCAATACTATGTTAGTGAATGTTATCCTAAATCTTGATTATTAGGCGGAATGTGTTTGTCCCTTGATTAAGAGAAGCACAGTTATGTTATTTATTCTTGCAAATTCCATATTATTAAAATCTCTGTTTTTGTGTGGCTCTTCTCCTGAGAATAGATGCACTCTGCCAAGCTCGCTCTACTTTCTCCAGTGGTGAGAGATTATCATATACGCAAAGAGTTTATATCTAACAGACTTAGTTCTCCTGTAGGGGATGAATTTCTGTGTGTGTCTGTGTTATGCAGATTAACTACTGTTAAAAGAGATGGTTAGTAAGTTGGCTATGGCTGTAATATAGAATTTATTATAAGTCATTATTGTTTAAAGTCATTGTTAGAAAGCCAGCCAATGTAAATTTTATTTCTATATTTTGTCAAACATCAATGAATAAGGGGTTTTAATTTGTCCTTTAACATGATCAGAAAATTTTTTCTACACACACAACATTTTGTGGGACCCACACTTTTTAAAGCAAAAAAAGAAAAAAATTATAGCACACAAAACGAATCTCTATAACATTACTCAATCACTTTTCCTACCACATAATTCCTATAAAACCCCAATGAATAATAGCTAATGGGGTTTCATTCCCACATGGAATGATTCTGTTTTTCAACTTTCATGTCGATTCTGCCCAACTTCTCCCAAGTGACATGCAAAGCAAAATTGAACTACAATATGAGCTAGAATTACAGCAAAATCTAAAGCACTACTTGACCAAAATAAGGAGAAAAAAAAAGGAAAAGAAAAGAAAAAGTACTTAATTGGAGTTAGTAACTTTATTCCATAATCTAGGCAAACAGATTTATAAATGTCTGTCTTCGCATCATAATTGTAAAGAACTTTGGGATATCTCAACACGTCCCCTCACATGAGAGCTCATTTAGCTTGAAGGGTGGACAACATACAAGTCCACCTACATGTGGAAATTCCACTATAAAAAAAGTGGGAGGCAGTGAGATTTCGAACGCTCTAATACCAGAATACCATGTTAAAAATCTTGTGGTCACCACTCAAAAGCTAGTTCTTAGGATGGTGTATCCCAAAATTCTTTACAATAATAATCAAACAACAAATGTCCAAAAAGGAAAAAGAAAAAGGCCAATGAAGTCGGCCAAGTGATAGGTACTGGCGCTTTTGCTTTCCTACTCTTGGGCTGATCCTAGTGGGACCAAAATTGAGTTGGAACAATATTTTTCTTCCTTTGTGATTAATAAAGGATTAAAGCAACATACACTGGCCCATTTATGTATTTTTTTTCTTTGACTGGGTAAACCATGTATAAATTGGTAAAGTAAATTCTTGTTCCCGCGTTCACATGCTGGGTACTGGGACTGCAGTACAAGCACTATATCTAAGACTTATTAATCATATATATAAATTTTAGAATCTTTATGATTATATAATATGATATTAAAATCCTAATTCAACCCAAAAACTTAAATTGATGGGTGAAATTTTTTTTGATGATTTATATTATTCTCTTACATGCTCTCTCACACGAGAGCCCAGCACAGGCCCACCTGTGTTAATAAAATTCCACAAGAGAAAGTGAAGCGGTGAGGATCGAACCCGGGACACGAGGCTCTGATACTATGTAAAGAACCAATCCAACCCAAAAATTTAAGCTGATGGGTGGGAACTTTTTAATGGTTTATACTATTCTCTAACACTTATTATCCTCATTTTTAAACAAAAGGAAGATTTTAACAGTAGACAAGGTAGACCATTTATTTATTTTAAGATTAGATTCTCACCATGGAGTTTCTTAAACCAAATATCAAAATCTACTCTTGCATTACGTGAATTGAGTATGTACAATAAGGAGATCCAAAAACTTTTGCTAACCCTTTTTTTTTTCCTCTCATGATGATTAGGCATCCCTAGCCTAATTGCATAATGATGGGAGCATAGGCTGCCCTTAGCTTTTGTCAAAGCTCACAAAGAAGAATCTAACCGACCACAAAACAAGCTCTACTTTTCTTCTGCACAAGTTTCCCGCTCTACAATTCCCTCCAAGCATATAGGCTAGTAGCTACCATATATAAAGACAAAGAAGATCACCATTACTACTTTATCATCATCATATAGGTTTGAAGTCCAAGATGGGAAACTGCTTCTTCGGGGCCATGGCAGATTCTGATGCAGTTATCAAAGTAATAACATCAAACGGTGGCATCATGGAATTCAGTGCTCCAGTAACCGTGAGTTTCATCACCAATGAGTTCCCGGGGCATGCCATTTTCAGAAGCCATGACCTCTTTTGGAAACCACTCAGCCAATTCGATGAGTTGGTTGCAGGCCACTCTTACTATTTGCTGCCACTCAACAACAACAACAACAACAACAAAAATAACAATGCAGATACTCCATGTGGTGTTGATAGCCATGTTGTTAGACAAGGCCATGTTCGATCTCATAGTGTTCCTACAACCTCGCACCCTGCCCTATATAGAATGTCATTGGACTACCAGCACCACCACCAGGGAATTGGGTTGCTCAAGAGGTCCTCCATTGAACCCTTCTCTAGCAGGAACAGTGCTAGTAATAGCTGCTCCACTGGTGGTGGTAGCAGTAGATTTTGGAAAGTGAAGCTGGTGATCACCCCGGAACAGTTGCTTGACATTTTGGCACAAGAGGCTCGCACCAAGGAGTTGATAGAGAGTGTAAGGACTGTAGCAAAATGTGGGGTTGCTGGTGGTATTTCATCTGCAGCTGCAGACACAGTTTCTGATCAGTGGAGCCTTTCCAGCACCAGTTGGAGCATTTCCTCTAAGATTGATGCCTTTGCAGTAGGCATTTAGTACAAAGTAACAAATAATTTGCAGCCACTATCTCTTTATATATGTCTCTTCCCCTTTTGTTATTTTTGCTTCATTGCTATCTTTATATTATATATGCATGTTCCATATTTTGTTCCTTCTGAAAAATTTAATGTAGATTCACTCTGTCATACCACATTCTAGAATTTCTGTGTTTTTTTCTTTAGTTTTTTTCTCTGTCTTAAAAAAGTACCAAATCATTTTGCCACAAAAATTAAAGTTTTTTTAACTTACATCTAAAATGAACATGTGGATTTTCTGCTGAACTAAATAAATAAATAAATAAGAAACACAAACCCCCATGGGTGTTTTGATTTGATCAAGCATAGGGGGAGTCTAATGCATTGGTAGGACTTTCCAAACTTAGCTGCATAATACTGAAAAATTAGAAATAATTTTTTTGCACATTCTGAAGTAAGAAGGAACAAATGCATCTGATCAGAAAAAATATGATGCACTATATTGATGAACTAAGTCCTTTATATTACAAGAAGTTTGGGTAACCGTTTAGTTGGTCTTACACCAAAATAGACAAAATTAATCAATGGGAAAATTACAGGTATCTAAAATCTTCTGAACTTTATGTGCAAAAAAAAAATCTTCTGAACTGCATGTATTGATATTTTGATTTCTTTTCTTTTTTTCGCGGAAAGTTGCGTACATCATTTACTTACAACTGAGAAAGAATACATGCATTATAGATAATTCAAAAACAAAGAATGTTATTAGATTGCTCTCCATCTTACGATCGAGTGTAGGGGTGAGGGTAGATGGTATGTCTTGCATTTTTGTAATGAGACAATTAAATTGTAATTATTATGATAATATGCAAATCTCACATATATAGCAAAACCAATTCATTATGAACACGAGAACTTCGAGTTCTTCATATACCCCACTATAAAGATGAACGTTTGTAATCATAATATACGTTAAAAAGGTATAAAATTAAATGAGTTTCAGCACATTAAAGAGTTGAGAATAAAGTTCTTACTTTACTTCTCTTTATTTCTTTTCTTTTTTGCTTTGGTAGAACACTTTATTTCTTTTCTATTTCAACCAGAGCATCGGATACTTACCTAATGGAGAAAAAAAACATACAGTATTACTCAGAAATCCATTTTAATAGTGTTTCGTCGTCCATGCTAATCTGAAGTCTACGGAACCCAAACCTTAACAAAGTTATTTAATGCAATAATTATGGTAAAGAACTACTTCAACCCAAAACCTTAAGATATTAGATGAGGGTCTTTTTAATGATTTATATTATTCTCTAACACAGCCTCTCAGACAAGAGTCCTTTGAGCTTGAAGTGTGAATATTGCACAGGCTCAATTTTTGGTTACCTTCTTTTGTGCTTTTTTTATTTATTTAATTGCACAAGTGGAGGGCGGTGAGGATCGAACTCGTGACTTATGATCACTGAAGCTCTGATACCATGTAAAGAACCAATTCAATCCAAAAGCTTAAGCTGGTGGGTGAGGGCTTTTTAATGGTTTTATATATCTCAACACGTCCCCTCACATGAAAGGTCACTGGGCTTGAAGGGTGGACAATGCACAGGCCCACCTACCTGTACGAAGAAAGAAATTCCACTAGAAAGAAAGTGGGGGCGGTGAGGATCGAACCCGGTACACCGAGGCTCTGATACCATGTAAAGAACTATTTCAACCCAAAACCCTAAGGTGTTGTGTAGCAGATCAGCCCACCACGGATAGGCCAAGACGTCAACGGCAAGCCCCAACACGTCTAATGGACTATGTCACATGACAAGCCCAGCCATTAGTAGTATTTAATTTAGTTTCAATAAAATAGCAATTGCTTTATTAGAGAAAGTTGTTATTCCAGTACTTATTTTTAGGACTTAGTTGTTAATGCTTATTTTTAGGATTAGACGTTCCTACCTTTCAGCAATTTGAATTCTAGATTAGGATTTGCAATTCCATTAAATATGAAAAATCAATCACTCAATGGCATGAGTTATTTGGCAAAAGTCTTATCTCCCTCTCTCTCAATTCCTCTTTCTCCTTTCCAATCCCCCTTCCCTATCCTCCCTAATTACGTCTTTACATTTTGGTGCTTTCATCCTTGTGACTCACCTCCATGGCTGAAAAAACTCGTATGGCGCAGATGCAGGAACATATCAATATGCATGAGGAAAGGCAAAATACCCTCATCGCTTCGGTCGAAGAAAGGCAACAAGCCTTCCTCCTTCAAGTGCAACGTAGCAATCAGGAGCAAATGAATACCATGATGGAACGGTTTCAAACGGAGATGGCCAATTTCATGGAAACTCACCGAACGAACGCAGCAACAAGCAGCGTCCTAGGAGCTCCACCAGGACGGCCGGAAACCACCCGCCCAAAACCAATCCGACTAGATTTCCCACGCTTTGCCCAAGGAGATCCCACCGACTGGCTATTTGCAGTTAATCAGTATTTTGATTATTATACTGTCATAGAACTTGAGCGATTAAAACTTGCATGCTTCCACTTGGACGCACCAGCTTCTAGTTGGTACCACAATCTATCCCGTGAAAGACTGATTGTGAATTGGAGGGACTTTCGCACAACAATAATCAGCAGGTACGGACCCACCATTTATGAAGATCCGGCAGGAGCTCTATGCCGCCTTACCTAAACTGGAACCGTGCGAGAATATCAAAACACATTTGAAACTTTGTCTAGCAAAGTCAGTGGAATACCAGACGGCCTAAGGAAGAGTATGTTCATCTCGGGCCTAAAACCTAAGGTCCGTGGCGACGTACAAGCACACTTACCAGAAACATTTCACGCAGCATGGGGCCTAGCCAGAAACTTTACAGAGGCAGAAGATCGCACTGTGCGCTGGGGACAACGCTCACAGACCACAAATACATCCCAACCACCCGAGCAGCCCACATCCCAACCAACACCATTACCAATAAAGCGTTTATCCCAAACAGAGATGCTAGCACGAAGAGAAAAAGGGCTCTGTTATAACTGTGATGAAAAGTATGTTTTTGGACACAGATGCAAATCAGTATCAACATTTATGTGTATTCTAGTTGAGGAAGAAGAACCGGAGGATGACAATATACCGCCTCAAGAGACCATTCCAGAATTACCCATATCTCCAGAAATCAGTTTTAACGCTCTCTTTGGTCACCACTCAACCAAAGCATTTCGTTTAACTGGTACAATAAAAGGTACTTCTGCCCAAATTCTGATAGACAATGGCAGCACCCATAATTTCATAACAGAACGGGTCACTAGTCACATAAAACTACCCATCCAATCAATTAGCCCATTCAAAGTTCAGGTTGGGAACAGAGACAATTTATATTGTAAAGGAATGTGCACCAAGGTACGCATTACGCTACAGAAACAGCATACCTTTGAAATTGATCTCTTCGTTTTGGACCTACAAGGCGCGGATGTCGTACTCGGGGTGCAATGGTTATCAACATTGGGACTAGTGACCACGGACTACCAACAATTGACCATGACCTTTACCCATCACTCACAATCCATTACTCTTTAGGGAAACACTACCTTCACTCCATCAGCTATAACCAATTCCCAACTAAACAAACTAATTGCCAATGAACCCATACAAGCATACCTAATGTGCTTGTCAGTCACCACACACCAACCCAACAACGACCATTCACTTCATGTCCCACAATCCATATCCCCAATTCTTGACAGTTACACTGACGTCTTCAACACCCCAACCCATCTCCCACCACATCGTCCAACAAACCACCACATACACCTCCTCCCTAATACCAAACCAATTCAGGTGCGTCCCTACTGATACCCACATTACCAAAAGCATGAAATTGAAAGGTTGGTCTCTGAGATGCTCAAAGAAGGAATCATACGGCCAAGTCATTCAGCCTATAGCTCTCTAGTACTGTTGATGAAAAAGAAAGATGGTACTTGGCGTTTTTGTGTGGACTACAGAGCTCTAAATGCAATAACAGTACAGGATAAATTCCCAATACCTACTATTGATGAACTGCTTGATGAATTACATGGTGCCTCAGTTTTTTCAAAACTGGATTTACGTTCGGGGTACCATCAGATTTTAATGGATAGCAATGACATTCATAAAACTGCATTCAGAACACATCAGAGCCACTACGAATTTCTGGTTATGCCATTTGGATTGTCAAATGCACCATCTACGTTCCAGGCTACTATGAACGAGGTATTCTCATCCTTCTTAAGGAAATTTGTAGTTATATTCTTTGATGATATCTTGATCTACAACATGAACCTAAAGGACCACCAACATCACCTAATGTCAGTACTATCTACTCTACGGGAACACTCATTCTTTGCAAAAAAATCTAAATGCATGTTTGCCAAAGATACAATCCAGTTTTTAGGTCACATCATTTAAGGGAAAGGACTGGCCCCTGACCCAGAAAAAATTAGTTCAATTACAAATTGGACTCAACCTACAACTGTGACCCAAGTACACGCATTCTTAGGTTTGGCTGATTACTACAGACGTTTCATCAAGAATTTTGCTTCAATAGCTGCTCCTCTAAGTGATCTAACTTCCAAGGCGGGATTTAATTGGGGTACAAAGGAAGACTCTGCTTTCGACAAGTTGAAAGAACTACTCACTACAGCACCTATTTTAATACTTCCGGATTTCACAATTCCTTTTATATTAGAGGCGGATGCTTCTGGTGTTGGTATCGGTGCTGTTCTCATGCAAAATGATCGACCAATTGCCTATTACAGCCAAAAATTATCCCCAACAATGCAAAAGAAGTCAACCTACATACGCGAAATGTTTGCTATCACTAGCGGCGTTTCTAAATGGAGGCAATACCTATTAGGAGCTTCATTTGTCATTCGCACGGATCATAAAAGCCTTTACCTCTTGATGAACTAAGTGGTGCAAACTCCGGAGCAGCAACAATTTCTGTCACAACTCCTGGGATTTTCATACACCATTGTCTACAAATCAGGAAAAACAAATGCAGCAGCAGATGCCTTGTC